TGAAGAGGAAGGGCTGGTAAAGCGAGTGAGGGCCACGTCGTGGGGCCCTTGGGTGCCCACGGTTGGATTATTGGTGGTGGTAAGATCCAGTCCTCTGCTCTGAGGCTGAGGTTAACTTGGGAAATGGACGGACTGAGGTTAGAAGAATGAAAGCGGGTGGAGCAAAGGCTGTTAGAAAGCTAGTGCTGGGTTTTTATAGCCCCGATGATATGTAACAGCTACTTTAACAACAGAATGATGAAAATGTGTGGTATTCTCCCTCCCCTGGGGGAATGCGGCCACTGAAAAGGTCACAAGTAATAGGAAAAGCGAATTTTATTGCTTAATTGTGGATTCAGTTTGTTTGTGTTCCTCCTGCTTCCCTTGCCACGTATTTTCTGAGTTGACTTGTCGACCAGGCCAAGTTCTTCTACTAAGAGTACAGATGTTTACAAAAAAAATGCTCTGCAATTCTTCACTCTGAAAATATTTAATAACAACAACAAATAGGCAAAATGCATACAAAAGAAAAGTATACCTAGTCTAGACTTGTTTTTGTATTATTTTACTTTTATAAAGAAGAACTATTTTGGGCTATATGCAAGGATTTAATTTTCTTGTTGATCAATTTTAGTGATGAGAGAGAGGGACAGACAGACAGACAAACATCAATTTGTTGTTCCACTTATTTATGCCTTCACTGGCTGAATCTTGTACGAGCCCTGACCAGAGGTCAAACCCATAACCTTAGCATATCAGGACGATGCTCTAACCATCTGAGCTACCCGGCCAGGGCTGTGTGATGGCCTAGGTCAGAGTTTTTCAACCTTGGCACGATTGACATTTTGAACAGTTGGTTCTTTTTTTTTTTTAAGATTTTATTTATTTATTTTCAGAGAGGGAAGGGAGGGAGAAAGAGAGAGAGAGAGAGAAACATCAATGTGTGGTTGCTGGGGGTTGTGGCCTGCAACCCAGGCATGTGCCCTGTCTGGGAATCGAACCTGCGATGCTTTGGTTCGCAGCCCTCGCTCAATCCACTGAGCTACGCCAGACAGGGCAACAGTTGGTTCTTATTGTGCAACACAGAGTGTTTAGCAGCATCGCTGGCCTCTACCCACTGGATGTTTGTAGCACCTTTATCCTCTAGTTGTGAGAGCTGAAAATATTTCCTAACATTTCTCAAAGTTCCTGGGTGGGGAATGGGGGTGGGGGAGGCAGAACTGGCCTACATTGAAAATCGTTGGCTTACATAGAATGTAGTAATTTCATCAGAGAATAACCACTTCCTTCTGCGGCAGTGCGGATGGTTTTATTGCAGCTTGTGGAACCTGCAGCGCTTTTTACCGCCAGAAGAAAACTGAAAACCGACGAATGTTTATACATTTCCTGTTGAGCGTTTATGTTAAAATATTCAAAGACAAACGAAAAGCTTCTTTATTGGTCGTCTAACCATTCATTTGCTCACCCCACTTACCCACTCCTTCATTTAGCTCCTGGGTTTGCTCGCATTTAGTTTTATAAGGGTAGTATTGGCTCTTCTCCTGGACCTTTAAGTCCTCAATGGAAAGGGACTGTGAATTTGCAAGTGTCCAAATAATGCTGCCAGTTTAGACCTGGGTGTGAAAATGCGGATTTCATGCAGAACCTGGACTCTAGTGTTAGTTTTACACCTAATGCCTTTTCACTTGGAGCAAGCTACTTTCATCTTTCTGTGCAAATTTTCTCACCTGCAAAATGAAGGAGATAATCTATATTATCAATAAGTTTGCTGCTAGTTCTAAATATCTAATATTGACCCCATAACCCCCCCCCCCCCAATGCAGTGCAAACCAAAATGTGCTTTGCGTGTCCCCGGTGATCCACACACTACCATGCTGGTCTCCCGTGAGATCAATGCGGAAATGGAACGTAAACCATTAGAAATGCGTTTTATAATTCAACAGAGCAGTTCTATGCCTGTTACACAGAATAATGAAACATTAGGCTTATATTTTGTGCTAGTCTTTTAAATTTAATTTTTCTAGTAATTCATTTTTATTATATTTTATGGAAGTATTAGTTCACATTGGATTGGAAGGAAAAAAACAAACAAATTGGTCTTTTACCGGAGGAACACTGTCTCGATGTATAATGGAAAGTTTTCTTTGCCTCCCTTCCTACCCTGGCCTGTACAAGTTATTTAATATATCACTCTTCTGGGGTTTAAATAAAAACAAAGACAAGATATTATCGCCTGTCTGCCGTGTTAGTAGCATAAAGGTGGTGGGCAATAGAATTTATTATAAAGAAAGTTGCCTTCTGGAAAACGAGAAGCACTTCTGGAGCAAACATGAGGTTCTTTTTGATCGCACGTATATGTGTCTTCACCTGGCTCATCCGAGTGACTGGCATTAAGAACGTGTTTTTCTGAGGACGTGAACCGAAGAACAGTGAACAGATCCTTTTTACAATTATTCCCTAGAATCCCTTTAGAAGTGACACCTGCCAGAAGGCCCGGCACACCGGAGTCTCCGTCACGAGCTGAGGCCGGGGGGGTGGGGTACGCAAAGGAAGAAAAGGGATGGACGAGACTCACTAGAGAAAGAACGACAAGTGTTTGTGAGTCTGTTCCATCATCCGGACTCATCCAGCATTTGGGAAAATCTGTGACACGGAGTCAGGTGTGGCAGGCTGACGTGTGAACAAGGGCAGTTAAGCAATAAAGCACTTTACAGCTTGACCTTGGTCTTTACGTGTAGAGGAGCCAGACCTCCCACTGGCATTTATTCGAAGCAGAAAACGCCGCTGGGCTCCCTGCGCTGAGGACCAGTCGCCCCGGGCGTGTTACCCCACGTGGAGCGGAATCATTCGGAGAGTCCTGTCCCTCCCTGGGCAGCCCCGTGCGCGGGACCCGGCACCGCTGGGAACAGCCTCTCGGCCTGCAGCTCCTTCTTGGTCTGTGCGGGGTTTGTACCGCACTCCCCCCTCCACAGCAAAAAGGCAAGAGCTTTGCCTGCCCTGTTAGCAGTATAAACTCACCCCTTCTTTCAGTTTTTTTTTTAATCCGGAGAATGATAATGTATAACATACTTGGAAACTCCGCTGGTGGACTTGGCAGGTGTTTCCCATTTACTTGGACCAAACGTGCACTGGATCTGGCCCTCCGGTTTCCCGGCCCCCCCTCCCGCCCCCCACGACCAGCGGTGTGTTACCCGAGTGCGTCTGTGCGGGTGGATCGGACGCGCACGTGGCCCGGCTGCTGCGAGCGCACTTGCTCGGGAAGATTTATGGCGGCCCAACCTGTTTCCTGTCGGTTTTCATTGTCCAAAACCCACGGTGTTCTTTCTTGGTTCGGCGCCCGCATTTGCAGTGTGCAGGGGTTCCTGTGGTTGACCGTTTTATCACTGTAACACTTCGCACGAAGGAAATTAAAAAACATAGCGTGGAAGCAGTTCCCTAATATGTTTCCAATCTGCTGGGCCCTTTAGTGGTTGGATTTGCAGGAACTAGAGAGAAGAGCTCTTGGCGGTCACTCGCAGTGCCCTGGGGATTCAGGTCAGGGTTCCGGGCCCGTGAAAATGTCTGTCGGAATGTTCTGACGTCCTTTGTTATTCTGTCTGTGTTGTATGTACGAAGAGCGCTTGCCGTTGTTGTTACCACAGCGGCACCTAGAAGAATTCAGGGAGGGAGGCGAGTCTCCTCCGTGTCTCGGACCAGTGAAACCCACGTGCACTGGGGCTGATCCGCTCGCCAGACGTCAGCCCTGGGCCCGGAGGTGGCAGGTCCTTTCATCTGCACCCTCCCGTGTGTGTGTGTGTGTGTCTGTGTGTGTGTGTGTGTGTGTGTGTGTGTGTGTGTGTGTGCGCGCTCCTGCTTCTGCACCCTTCGGGCTGAGCTGAGCGGTCAGACGCTCACCGGGGAATCCCTTTGCCTGGCGGCTCCTGAAGATCTGAGACGCGGCACCGAGAGGCGCAGCCAGGCGCGCCGTCCCCAGAAGGGGATTGATTGCACGGGGTGGAGGCTGTTCCTTGGACAAACTGAATCAGGATCTAGGCTGTGATCTTTGCACCATTATTTCTTTTCACTTATTTATTTATTAACATTTTTTTAAAAAAATCCTCAACTGAAGATATGTTTATTGATTTTAGAGAGAGAGGAATGTGAGGGGGTGGGGGGAGAGAGAGAAACATTGACGTGAGAGAATCATCGATGGGGTGCCTCTTGTACGTGTCCTGACTGGGCTTCGAACCCGTGACCGTTTGGTGTACGGGGCTGATGCTGCAACCAGCTGAGCCACCCACCCAGGTCTGCACCTTTATTTCTTTGGCTCTTTCTACAGGGACTTGAGTGAAGTGGTTTGTTGCCTTTGGGAGGATCTCTGGCCTTTGACTTCCGCTGTTTCTAATGACTGAGCGCGACTTCCGTTTTGGAATTGACGTGTGATAATCTGTACATTGATAGTTTTCCTTAATCTGGTTCACAAACTGAAGGTAAAATCCAAGTCAAATACAAAGTCATAGCTCTTAGAGCTGGGAGGCAACTCTTTCATCTGGTAAAGATCGTAGCTTAGATGGGTAAAGGAGTTTACAATCATTTCCTATATTTTAATTTTCTGCTTTTATTTCCTACCATGTTCTAAACTTTCCTCTTGACATTTAGCACTTTTGAGCCCAGTTAGTATTGTGGGAGATCCCCTTTCCCTGTGGCGTTTCAGCGCCGGTCCTCCTCCCATTTCACTAGGCAGAAGTCAAGTCGCACACGAGATTGTGGGTTTCGGCCAAGAGAGCTTATCAATCCATGCTTTTTCACTTGAAAGTCTGTGTGGTTAATCTTCTCAGTAGTCAAAGAATTAATGTAAGCGAAAGTCAAGTGGATATTTAAAAAGCTTAGTTATGTTTTGGGGAAAATAGCCAAGGAGTAGGACGGCTCCTGTGATCACTAGTCCTGGCTTAGATGACGTGACTTCTTTTGCTCCAAAGAGAAAGCAGACAAACGCACACTCATCGCTGGCCTGTCCTCCTGCTTCTGTGTTTCCCGTCCAGGTTGCACGTACGAAGGGAATACGTACAACAGCTCCTTCAAGTGGCAGAGTCCTGCGGAGCCCTGTGTCCTGCGCCAGTGCCAGGTAAGAAAACGCCGAAGCCCAACTGTGTTCTTGTACATGTTTATTGTGACATCCACCGAAGCAGGACCAGCGCAGGGTAGACACTGTCTACAGCTTGCTTTCAGAAACACACCGCAGAACAGTTCACTGTTGTTAAATCGTGCCTGAAAAAAACTTCCAGAAGATGCATGTGTCCTTGGGGGAACGTGGCGTCTTCCTGTGAGTCAGCTGTAAGCAAAACACAAACTCCTGTTAGCAGAAGGAGGTATTGTGAGCGGATATATGTTTTCCTTCTTTGACTTAAACACTTTTTGAATTGGAGCCAATCTGTGCACTATCTTCAATCAAAGCCACCCAGTGACCTCACCCCGACAACTGTGAGGACCACCGGGTCAGCTCCCAAGGAGCCCGCTGGGGTGGGTGCTCGCCGGGCTCAGAAGAGAGGGGACTCCACGTGGTTCCGACGTTACAGGTTCTGAAGCACAGCAAGATTTTCACGCTCCATTTTTGTAGCTTAAGAAATGCTCTTTAAAAAGCGCATGCTGAATTTTGACATAATTTTAAAATTCTTCCCCGAAGAGAAGTTGCTGTTAAATCATCTTACTCCTGGCCCCGTTTCACTGTCCAAGGACATGCTCTTGCATGTGAAGGAGGAAGAAAGATTAATGTAATAATGTGTGTTTCTGTCTGAGCTTATCTCAGGTGTATTTACATTAAGTTTTTTTGAAATCTGATTGTATCTGTTCATGTCCTCATGATGTGTTTGCAGTGGTCAGGTCTCGTCAGATCTTCAGTGATTCATTGAGTTAAATATTCAGCTTATCTATGTAGTAAATCTGAATTGTTTGTGAAAATATGTAGTAGGTAGAACAGATGTAAATGAGAGATTAATGGAATAAACAAATATTTGTTCAATTTTTACTCTGGATTATAGGTTTAATCAGCTTTATGGAAATAAGAGACAAGCATAGTAAGTTTTTTTTAAGCTAACATTTTTTGGAAGACTTTATTTATTTAGAGAGAGAGAGGAAGAGGAAGGGAGGGTGAGAGAGAGGGAGAAAAACATCCATGTGCAAGAGAATATTAATTGGTTGCCTCTTGCCACCAACTGGGGACCTGGCTTGCAACCCAAGCATGTGCCCTGACCAGGAATCGAACTAGTGACCCTTTGGTTTGCAAGCTGGCACTCAATCCACTGAGCCACACCAGCCAGGGCAGCACAATGGGTTTTAAAGCATCAAAAGCCCCCATTTGTTCTAAAATCTGCACCACCCCATTCCCACCCTGCTTTTTGACCAAGGAAATGTCCACTCTTTGATAGGGACATTCAGAAAGCCCCGGTTACATGCCTTTTAAACAAGACAAATGCATGCCTTTTGGAGTATAGTGTAACATATTTACACAGCAGTCAGAGGTCTTGAAAATCCTTAGGCTGCATTGACCAGTGGCGAACTTGGATGAAGCCTTTGTTTCGATTACATGAAAACTATTACCTGGGAGGGAACATTCTGTGGGCCAAACAACATATTAAACCATTATCCACTAACACCAAAACTCCTACTGCCAGTCGTCTGAGTCACTGGCCACGCAGCGGGGCCCAGAGAGAATGATGCAGAAACACCAAACCACTCCTGGAAGAGATCCCAAAGACCAACAGCCCTGGGAGTCAGGAAACGCCGACCTGCGAAATGCAGCACAGCCAGGAAACGCTACCTCCCCGAGATGAACTTGGCCTTTTAAAGTTCTTCCTTTAAAAAAAAAAAACTTGGCCTAAGAACTGTTCCAAAGCAACACCTACATTAAGGTAGGTCCCAAAATCTGCTCCTCGGCTGCGCTGGCACCTGCCCACTCCTGCGTGCCTCCTTCCTTCTTCAGGGAGGAGAGCTGGTCTGTGACCGTCTCCTGGCACCTGTTGGGGCGGCCTCACTGATGATGCTCCCATGCAGAGCGACACAGTGGCAGCCTCCCCATGCTCCTGTCTCCCCAGGGCGCAGATTCAGTGACAGAGGCGAGGGCACAGCCGAGTAAGGAAAATGTGGGCTCTTCCACCCCTGGAACTTGGGACTGAGCCTCTCTGGACCTAATGAGGACAGGAGGGCCTCTTGGGGTGCTTGTGAGCAACGAGGAAGCTGATATGGAAAACACTTCAGGTAGTGCCTGCGTGTCCTGGGTCCGGCTGGGTGCCAGGCAGGTGACAGCTGGCTTGATGACCCGGCTTATTTCCACTTGAGTTGAATTTCTCATATCCTCCTACCTCTGAAGAGACTCTGAAGATCAGAGAAAGGCAGTTCATGCTGGGATCTACCCTGAATTCTCCATGTGGATTGCAGATAAAGGGAAACTGATCCGGAGCCCTAACCTTTTGCATTGTTTCGGTTATTTCACTAAAGCGCCGATCGTTTTTGGATGCTGCATATTACGGTATCCTGTGGTTCTTTCTTTCTTCCCCAGCATGATATAGACCATAATATGCTCCCCTGGAAGTGGAAGCCTCAGGCCTGAGAGATAGGAAGACGTTCAGGATATAACCTTCCTTGTTGGACTGAGATGCGGCAGTAGCAGGCACGATGAAGAAAATTATCTAGTTATCAGACTGTTACATTATTTTTAGCCTGTGCTACACCTCCCCTCAAAACAGACAGACGGCACAAACGCACAAATCCGTTTATAAAACAGGCAGAGAATATGGTGAAAATGCTTCAAAAGCCAACTCTGAAAATTAATCTAAAAAATGTGTTGATCGACATTAAAATATTAGAGTCCCAAGATCAGTTTGCAAAGGAATCATTCGATTTCACTATGAAGACCTGCAGTCTCTATGTTGACCCGTGTATTATAACTTTAAAATCATGTTAGCCAATGTCTTCAGTCGATGCCGGAGAGCCAGGCTCCGTGGGAGGCAGAGGGCAGTTTCCGAGGCCGTGGAGCTGGCCTAATTATTTCTAGAAGGGTGGTAAGGATTTAGGCCTCCAGACGCCAGCCCGGGATGTGAGGCTTGCACTCTTTGCCTCGTAATGAAGTACAATAACAATAACAGAAAATGCAGTAAGGGCTGAACACCTTAAACCATTGTGAATGCGCAGTGAGGCTCTCTCAGCTACCCACTGACAGCAAGGTCTCAGACAGTAGGTTTCCCAGAAGGAAAGAGAAAGACCCAGGACAGGGTGACCAGCAGCAACAGACCCAGCCCTCTGAGTTCAACCGCGTCAGAGGGCTGAGCCAGGGGGACCCGACCTCACCTGGACGCGCACCGAACCTCTGGACCTGACACCGACCCTCGCCGGCGGGGCACGGGGGCACGGTTCGTGTTGGGACCCTTCTCTGGTTTCCTTGGCTACTTCCCAAAAGCGCGTGGCTGCTCAGGGGGAGCTCTGGGCTGATGGCCTGCGCTGTCCTGTTTTGCAGGAAGGCGTCGTCACCGAGGCTGAGGTGCGATGCGTCGTTCACTGTAAGAACCCTTCCGAGCCCCCGGGAGCATGCTGTCCCACGTGTCCAGGTAAACCGCTGGGGAGGGGGAGGCGGCAGCACTCCCCGGAACAGCGCCATGCTGTCGTCGTCGACACCTCCGAGGTCCCCAAGCATGCCTGCTTCTCCCCCTTCCTGCCCGGGGCTTTCCTCACCTCGTGTCTGGGCGCCTGGGGGGTTCAGAGAGCAAACCTCTCTGCAGAGAAAGGTCCGCTCGGACTCTCCGGTGGGCGTGGGACGAGCGCGCCACGCTGTGGGTCTTGGCCTGTGGCTGCTCTCGGCTCGGGAGGCCCACTCTCCAGCCCGCGGGGCCGCGGCAAATGGTCGTTTTGGAAGGAAAGCCTGTGGCTTCTCCTCGCTACCAGAAGTGCCTTTTCGCTGCTTCAGTTTGCAAGACGCTGGCCAGGGCTGGCCTTGGTGATGAGGTAACCAGATGTTTTCTGGAAACGGAGAGCCGGGCCCTCCGTGAAGTCAGCCGAGCGTTTTTTGGGGGGGTTTGTTTTTTTTTGCCAGTCTCGGTTTTCACTGTGGCGCAGCAAGTTGGACCACTGTCTCTCCGAGGGCCCCGCTGCCTGGCTGACAGCGGAGGGTCTCTCCTTTCCAGGGGCTGGAGGATTTCCTCCTGCTTTCCTGAACAGGCTTCCAAAGGCCCCCTGCATCTCTCCTTGCCCTTAGGTCCGAGCCCGGGGGTTCTGAGGTGGGAGATTTTTTCCTGATCCCTTACGCCCCTGGCCCATACTCGCAGACATATGTTCCGCATGTTGGGCTTTCTGCTGAGCTTGTTTCCTCTCAGGAGGCCATCCTCGCAGCTCCTCCTTGCCAGAGCCTCCTGCCCCGCGGGCCTCCCCAGGTGGGACAGCGCTGAGGCAACGGTGGGGGTGGGGGACGCTCCTGCCACTCTCCTCCGTGCAGCCTGAAATGCGCGTAGACCTGAGTCCCTCCTGGGGTCCAGTCTTTTCCCACCTTTGAGTGACAGGAGGGACACTGCCTCTCCGCTAGCGCTGACCTTCCTGAGTTCCCCGCGCCGTCTTTATCGAGCCGAACTTCCCTTTCACGGTGGGATTTCTGAGAAGTATTACCGGATGAGCTCACATGAGGACCAAAACCGGGTTGATAATTCTTTCCGTAATTCAGTTATTTTGTATCTACCAAACAGAGTTTCCCTGGGTACTTTTTTTTCTTCAGAATGCACCAAATAGGCTTTGTATCACGTAAGCGTACTCTTCAGTGTCTGGAAGATCTTTATTAAGTTTGATCACTAGTTTTCTGGGCTGCCCGGTAAAATCACCTGGGAGGCTTTAAAAAAAATAAACACCGATGCCTCTGGCTGCATCACAGCCCAGTTCCAACACGTTCTCTGCATTTCGTGGTCCCAGGCCTCCCAGATAGGTCCAGGCCTGAGATTGATACCAGAGCAAATTCTTTACGCTGTACAGATTTAAAAATGATCATAGCTCTTACATACAAATTCTGTTGCGTCGAGTAGACCGTTGCTTTATTGATACAGACTCAGCTCGGCATGTGTAACATCTCTCCTCAGGCAGGAGATAGTCATGGTTTTTGGCTGCCCTTGAAAGTGTGGGTCTACAGACGTGAGAGCGAATTTATTGCAGCTGATGAAGTCATCATCCCTGAGCAACTGACTCCTGCGTTCTGCTTTTGGTTGAGTTCCCGAGAACGAGAGGCTGAGCGCCGTGACCATGCGTCCTGCACTGTCGGGTGCTCATGACCTTCCAGGGTGGGAGTGGGTGCTGTCCACACTTCACAGAGGAAGGAATTGGACCCATGAGGGTGGGGTCCATTAGTGGGTCAAGGCCAAAGGTGGGGTGGGGCCGGACCTAGCCACCGTGCTGTGCTGCCTCTCACCACCCGCACGCCACGGTGACTGTCCTGCCTGCTTCCAGGAGCCTCGAGGGGCAGATCTTTGCAGTCGGCATGCAGGGACGCACGCACGAGGCCCCGACACCTGGGCTGCCTCTCCACCCTTGCTTATGGAGTCAAGAACCACCTTTGCTCCCTCTCCTTAATTTCAGAGGCCACCCCTGGGGATGCGAATCAGCAGACTCAGAAGAGGGCACATCCAGAATGCTTTATCTTTTGCCTTGGGAGGCTAGACACAGCCACGTCCAGATAGGGACAGTCAGGGTCGTCTTGGGATATTGCCCTTGGTATTCAGAAGGACTGGCATCTGTCACCGATCGTGGAATGGTATTCCACATAACGGCCAACGGGTACTGTCTGTGGTCAGCTTCTTCCTGAGACAGATTTCAGGGCGTGCGTGGTGGTCTCTCCTTCCTTTTCTTCGGGTTCTTTGCTCAAGCACACTGGGGTGGAATGAGAAGAGCCTGCATGGAACATTCACGTAACCTTCCTGTTTAAGTTGCCAAAGGGAGATTGTTGTGGTTCATCCTCTGACCGCCTGGATGACAGAACCAGCGGTGTGAACATGTGTGAATGAAAGAATTCAGGACCCTTTGTTGGCAGAGTCCTTTGAAAAGAGGTGACCAGACGGGTCCCTGCCGTTGCGGACAATGCTGAGCTAGGGCCACTGGCAGGGCCGCAGGTTTACCAGGTCTGCCCGTGCTGGTAGGGATCGCAAGGAGGCGGTGGGTGGCTGGGCGTGGGCATCGAAAACACTTTAAAACCAGTTTCCCTCCACTATTGAACCTCAGACTTGGTGCCGTTGGTCTGCACAGCTTTCAGCTGAACAGAGGGCTCTGTATCTGGCTCTGAAGTGAGCGGGTCCGGCAGCCCATTTGCGGGGGGAGGGGTAACACTTGCTCCTCCTTGGAAGGAACCAGCTGCTTCAAGGGCTTGGTGGGTTCTGCTGATGAGTTCAGCTGGCAGGCTTCACTCACTCACTCCCAGGGATGCGAGTGCGTCTTTCGCACGAGCCCCCTTTGCTGCATTTTGGTCATTGGTACTGTCACCCCCAGCCCTGTCCGCTGCACGCGGGGAGGGCCCTCAGCTGCTCTGGAAGAGCGCCCCCAGAGGAAGACCTGAGGAAAGTTGCGTTGCCATTAGCTGGTGGTCCTCCCGTGGCCTTTCCTGTGTGGCACGGGCTTACTGCCAGCCTGTGCTATAGGTCACTTGTGAGATCTGTTAAGAGTATCACTTTTTTCATGTCCTGAGCATCTTTCTGAATGGGAGACACCTCCCGGGCTTTTGGTCCTATTTTTAGTCAGACTGGGTGGGGGTCACAGTCCCTTTAACAGGACATAAGGTGGGACTGAAGACCTGCGTGGTACCTCCTGACCCGCCTTTGCCTCTTGTCTTGGTGCCTCATCCTCTGTGTGTTGTGGCTGTGGGTCAGAACTGAGTTCAAACCCCAGCTCTTCCACCTGCCGGCTGGGTGAGCTACTGCTCTCTTGGAGCCATGTCTTCCTCACCAGTGAGAACCGTGACCAGGGCCCCTACTTCGCTGTGAAGGTGGAGTGTGATGGGGGGTACGGAGGGCCCAGGAGAGGCTGGGCAATCCTGGGCACTCACCAAGGGGCAGCTCTTCCTGTCTTTTGTTCCTTACCTCGTCGTGGACTCCTCTCGCTGGGACTGCCTCCGTCTGCCTCCCCGGCCTCTCTGGGCTTTGGCTCCCTGGCCGTGGTCAGGGAGGCCGCGGTGAGGCCCCCCCACGGACTCTGGCCGGCACACCGCTGTGCACGGATCCCCCGGGCTGACCCGCTTCCGGGCTCTTATGTGCTTTCTAGCATCTTCGGCTTTCTGGGCCCATGTCAGTGCTTTTTATTCTTTTGGATTTTTTGTTTATTTATTTGTTTTTTACTGTGAGGCAATACTGTCCTCTGGTTAAGGGGCCCCTCTTCTAGGTGAGGTGGAGGGGGGAAATGGATGAACAGTGGACGGAAGAATCGTGTCAAAGTGAACAAAGTCTATCGCCCTCATTCTAAACCGTTCTGTGCTTTCCAGGCTGCGTGTTTGAGGGTGTGCAGTACCGAGAAGGGGAGGACTTCCAGCCAGAAGGAAACAAATGCACCAAGTGTTCCTGCATCGTGAGTACTGCCCTGGGCGTTCCCAGGACTCTCCTTCTGCTTCATTGCAGCCGGGACTCCCCGGGAGTGGCCGTGACTCTCCCTACAGCCTCTCCTTCTCTCCCTGCTGAGATGGGACTGAGGGACAAGCTCGTTCCTTTGCAGCAGGTTTCTCGACCCTGGCACCGTTGGCGTTCTGGGCCGGGTAGGTCTTGGCGGCAGCTGTCTTGTGCAGTGTAGGATGTTTAGCAGCCTCCTTGGCCGCTGCCCAGTAGATCTGAGTATCACTCTCCCCCTTAGGGTGACAACCCCCAATGTCTGCGACATTGTCGCCTGTGCCCTGGAGAACGAGGGCACCCCTGATTGGGAACCACTGGCCTAAAGAATGGGGGGAAGAGACCGATTTTCCTGCACTTGCTGTCCTCTTTGGGAAGACAGGATTTCTCCGCTCTTCGGGCGAAGGAGCTTCTCGCGGAGGCAACTGTTGTGTTCTCGAGTGGAGTCAGAGGGGAAGCAGATGGGGTCAAGTGCAGCTTGCCTCAGTGTACCCTGTGGGGTGACAGAGCCTGGTCAGAGGACCGGTCAGTTACACTGGGGGGAACAGACAGGGGGAAGTGGCCCCGAGCTGTGGATCCGGGGCAGAGGAGGGATTAGTGGGACAGAGCCACAGACTTCCTCTCCACGCATCGCTGGCATACAATTCATGCACCAAGGTCACCTTCCGAGTGCTTAACAATGAAGCAGGGACTTGGCTTATGTTACGGTATTGAGGGGATCATTTTTACGTATGTATTTTGAATTTGGAATAAAATATGGGTGATGGTGGTGGTCATGGTGATGATGGGGAACCCGGTCTTAAGCAGCCATTCCAAGTTATTTACACCGTATATTTTGAAAGCGTTTAGTCTTTTGTAATAAAGAACATGCAGCGCGCATCTCAGAATATTAAAAAATAATGGGAAACTCGAGCGTCGTAATTTCACCAAAGTGGAATCATATGTGGACTGTCATAAATCATATCATTTGTCATCTCTCTACATGTCTTTTCCAAAGCTCTCCCCTTCCTACGGCACACAGCCCCGAGAGCCGAGCGTGAGAGACACATGACCGCGGGTGAGGGGTGTTGTGGGGGGAGGGGGAGGGGCAGAAGGGGGAGGGAGAAGGAGCGGATATATACAGCATATGTAATATGAGGTGTATAATATATCCCAGATTGCAATAGTATATAAAAACACAGAGGTCATTTACTAATGAAGATGAACGTGATTTTGCATATATAGCCTCAACTTTCATGCATTTCCTCTCTCATTCATTATGGTCAAATAGCTTTGTGTTAAATTTTAGGTAAATAATTTCTATTGGCCATTAAATATTGCTCATTGCTCCACGTTATAGCTTCCATGCTGGTCGTCGTCTGGTTTTCTGGTAACTTTTTTTGTGCCTCCCATTCTTTTGGGCGTATCGAGGAAGAAGAAGGCACAGCTAAGTAGGAAACGTTAAATCTGCACCTGAACGAACCGTGTGTCCCGGAAAGGTGTGGCCAAGGCCGGGCAGGGGAGCCTCCTCCTTGGGGAGGCGGTTTAGAGGCGGAAAGGGGGACAGAAGGTCCTGTAGGTTTTGCAGTGACAGTTACACCACGTCACCCAGTGGTGGGACCAGAAATGACTTCAGAGCTCATGTGAGCTGGGGTCACAAACCCCAGTGCGTTCGAGGTTTTCAGATTGCGCGTGTTTCCAAACACAATGCGTGTCGCACAGAACACGCCTGAGGGCCAAGGTCAGGGCCCTGAAAATCCTGCTTTCATTTTTTGGCTGAGGAAATAAAAATCCAAAGCAATTTGTTGCCCAAGCTTTCCTGCTTCGTGAGTTCTCTCCAGACCTATATTCTATCTGATTTCCTATATCCCCGCATCTAATTCCTTATGCATTTATATTCCTGATCCTGCGCTCTCTCTGGTTCTCCACGTGGCCGCCCTCAGCACCTCAGGGGCAGCTCATGGCTTTGACTGTGTTCCCAACACCCATCTTTGCCCTTACAGGGGGAGGGTGCAGGGGGTGGAGCTCCGGCTTGGAGGCAGGTCAGGTCGTGTGTGGGTGAGCTCGGGAACGGGGAGGGCCAGCAGGGCGGGTTTGGTCTTCGGGAATACAGGAATTTGAGGTGTAAGCTTTCTTTTTTTGGCAGCTTGTCATGAAAATAACCTGCTTTTCAATATTCTTTCATTTTGCCATCTACTGATGTAGTATCCCTCCCCCCAAAAGATGTCTCGGCAGCAGATGGCCCGCCTTGGGAGGGGTCACTGTGCAGAGGTCTGTTTTAGAAGCTCACAGGGCAGGTGCATGGCCCGGCCCGGCTCTGCGAGGCCCGGGATTGGACGGGTGGGGCCGGAGTAGCGTTGGAATCTCCCGCGCGAGAGGTGGGCAGGGGGCTCGGAGCCGCCTCGCGGAGCGCTGAGCGCGAGGGTTGAGCTGGACAGGGCTTTGGACAGCCCAGCGCGAGGCCCAGCGCTTCGCCTAGAAGGTTCCAGGGCGGGGCCTGGGCTGCAGGTTCCCCTGTGACAACGGGAGACGATAGAAAAATCTGCTGTGCTTTGATGAGAAGAAAAACAACAACGCTCTGTGTAGAGAGACAGGAACACATTTACACCTTTTGGCGTGTGTGGTGTTTGTGTGACGCCTGTTCATATGCGTGTACATCTATATCTGTGACTGTATATATGTACACACACACACAAACCTACGTAAGCAAGCCTATAAATATCAATACGAACACACACATTTACACGTCTGCGTGGGGGTTCCCCCGCAACGGACCCCCGAGATGAGTGTTTGTGTGTCCGTAGTTTCGTGGGAGATGGAGGAGACTGTGGCTGAGGAGTGTGGAGGGGGGACAAGGCGGGGAGGCAGCCACTCAAGGCTGTGTCACCAGGCGAGTGTCGCTGTGCGTGACCAGAGCTCACTCCTGCCGGACAAATTCTGGAAGCCGGCGTGAGGCTCAGGCCTCAGAACCTCCCGCCCGAGGGGTGAGAGGTGCGACCCAGTTACACCAGTTCCCGTCTGCTCCGGGGCGGGGGTTGGCTGGGCACCATTCCGAGCCTGCCGCTGAGGTGGCCGCTGGCTTCCAGCAGCAAGAGGAAGAAACACAGGTGCCTGCACTCCACGGGGAGGGGGAGGGGGTTGGGGAGGGGGAGGGGTAAAGAGGAAGGGCGGGGCAGCACCCGTCACCGACCGCAGCTCCGAGTGTGCACGTGTAGGTGGGCATGCACACACGCGCATTCACATTATTAGGGTTCTCAATATGTGTGTGTCCACACTCACGTGCATGTACATATTCATGCACACACCTTTGGAACACTGGTCCACTGGCTCTTTACAAAATCCATTAATTTTTCTGTTTTTTTTTAATGGTTTTATTTTTTAAATATACTTGTAAATTGCAGCTTACATTCAATATGATTCTGTATTAGTTTCGGGTGTACAGCATGGTGGTTAGACGGTCATACATTACAAAGTGCCCCCCCAGATCTTTCCAGTGCCCACCTGGCGCCACACGCGGTCATTACAACCTCGTTGACCGCGTTCCCTGCGCTGGGCCGCACATCCTGGGACTGTTGTGCAACCACCAGTGTGTGCCCCTCGGTGCCTTCCCCTCCTCCCCCCCGTCCCCCGGACGCCCTCCCTCTGGCAACCACAGTCTGTTCTCCGTATCGATGAGTCTGTTTCCGTTTTGTGTGTTAGTTTATTTTGTCTTTCAGATTCCACATACGAGTGAAACCACATGTGGAATGTACTTGTCTTTCCCCAACCGGCTTATTTCACTGAGCATAATGCTCTCCAGGGCCATCCGTGTTGTCACCAAAGGATGACAAGATGTCCTTCCTTTTTCATGGCTGAGTAGCATTCCGTTGTGTGAATGGACCGCAGCTCTTTTTCCCTCTCATCTACTGAGGGGCACTGGGGCTGCTTGCATATCTGGACTGTTGTGAATAACGCTGCAGTGAACATAGGGGCACACGTATTTTTTCGAATCAGGGTTCTGGGTTTCCGTGTCCGGGTCTGTGTCCGAGGAAACCCATCACTCCTGCTTAGGCCTCCAGTCTCTCCCTCCTGCTGCCGCCTGCCCGGAACCCTTTCTTCCCCTGGTTCCGTCTTCCCGACCTGTGACACAGTGCCTTCAAAACCACGACGGTCTTCTCTTCCAAACTGTGATGCTCTGCCCTTTAAGGTTGACCTGCCCCTTCTTGCTGGGGAAGAGTGGGTCTTGTTCGATAGACACCCCGCTCTCATGAGACCCCGCTCCACCATGGAGCACCCCCTCTGGAGTCATGCGAACATGAAGCATGCCTCGTGTATATCACTGTCTCTGACGAATGAGTCGCCTACTCCTCCAGCTGTCCCCTGACCCTCCCGTAAACACGGCATACGGCAGATGGCTTGCATCTCACACCCGACCCCCTTGGTTCCACTCTCCCTGTGTTTGTGTCGTGGTGAGAGAGGCCGGCGACTAGGACGACACCGCATCCCACTGAGCTGGATCCCTCGGATAAGGAAGCACAGGCCTGGCCCGTGATTTTCCGTCCCCAGTTTAGGTTGGGACAGTCTGTACGGCATTCTGATGGCTGAAAACATGCCAGCGCTGGGAGATAGCTGAAGAGGATCTCACAGTTAAAAATCTCACTCATTTTTAAATGTGAACATCATCCGGGCTCACGTAAAAAACGCTTTACTGTGACTGGTAAAACTGTATCACCCCCATTTACTCATTGTGTGAGTGAGAGAGCCAAGGGAGTGGCTCCCCCCGCCTCCAGTCCTAGTACTGAACGGGGGCAGAGGGCAGGGGGCGTGGCCATGGGGTGGGGGCGGGAACCTGAGCTCCTCCAGCTCGCGTTGTCTGGGCCACAGTGGGGTGTGCTCCCCACGGTGCGTGTTCAGTCTGAGTACGTCCTGTGCTCCTTTTAAGATGGAAAGCAAGGACTCTTTCCCAAGGCAGGCGGAAAAGAAGAGTTTATCAGGTATCCCGAGGGC